GATGGATGGATGGATGGATGGATGGATGGATAGATGATGGATGGATGGATGGATGGATAGATGATGGATGGATAGATGGATAGATGATGGATGGATGGATGGATGGATGGATGGATGGATGGATAGATGGATAGATGGATGGATGGATGGATACACCTGGACTGTGGAGGGATTGAACCACCAACCATGTGATTGGATAGATAGCACAGTACACAGGAAAAGAGCAGCACAACGCACAGATATAACCGATAGTTTCTCCTTCTAGAAGAATTACTAGCGCTTACAGGAAAACCTCTGTGAAATGGATCCTTGATGGCAGCTTGTTTGTTTTTGTTTACTGTGTCTCAGGAGGAGGCGGAGCTTCAGTCAGGAGGGCGGGTCAGAATCTATGAGCTCGCCGGCCTTCACCTCCTGGAGATAAAGGAAGTGTGTGCAGAGGACGCAGGAAGTTACAGGTGTTCAGTCACCAGCAGCGCTGGATCAGCGACCGCCATCGCTGAGCTCAGCATCCAGGGTGAGCCGACCAATCACTGGTCTGTGAGGCCCATGGCTGGATGAGCTGCACTCTGACCTGGCGCCCATCACCTAATATGTAAATTTACCTATTAGGGTTCAGACCTCAATGTGGATTGGTGATTCCCCTGCTGGCCCCACCCACATGTTAGGAAAACAAAATTAACTTCTCAGGGTTCTGGAAAGGTTTTACAGATATCAATAATACAGACCCAACTTGACAGAACCGCTGTGTTGGCAGGTTCATAGTTTCAGTCTGTTTTTCCTCCATCACCACCTGTCCTGATGCTCCTCCTGTTTCTCCTCCAGGTGCTCCTGACCCCGTCTCCTCCAGGTGAGTCCTGTAAATATATATATTTATACACACACACACACACACCGTTTCCGGGGTCAGAACCAGAAGCTTGCCTGACACATTTAAACCTCTGACATTACAGCCACCATGTTGACCCACCTGAGGACTCCCAGACCAGAACCAGGAGCCCAGCTGCCAGTGTTCCCAGTGCTCCCAGCTCCCCTGGACAGACAGCAGCTTGGGGGAGCAGGCCTCCAGCTCAGCTCCCCCTGCTGGCAGAGAGGAGAAGTGCAGCTGTGCAGGTCACTGTAATCAGATTACTTAGTAATGAAGATGCCCTCTGCAGAGTACTGGATGTTTTTTCAAAATCCAGCTGTTTCCAGCTGAATGTGACAGATGTGCACCTGTACGGGAAGGTGCTGCTTCACCTCCAGTCCCTCTGATCAACACTAACGTATAGGACTGATGTCACTGGCATGATGGCCGGTGCCTTTACCTGCACCATAGACCTTAGACAACACACACACATAATAGGTTGGACATGTTCATAATATCCAGCTGAGTATATGTCAGCTGGGCTAAACTTAGACGTGTCCTGCAGTCAATGAAACTTGACTTAAACGTTGTTCATGTAAACCAAGTAAACTCACACCTGCTTCAATTACCACAGCTGCTAGTAATAACTACAGAACCATATATGAGGCATTTACCTGAACCACGTGATGTTACAGCAGGTGAGCTGTTCACAGTGAGCTGTATGTTTTCTTTGTACAGAGCAGCTAGCAGGGGCTAGCTGCGGCTAGCTGCGGCTGAACGTGGTTTTAATGAGACTTTTGTTCTGCAGGTGCAGCCGGTCGGTCCGGATCCGGTTCAGACCGGTTCAGTCCAGCAGCAGCCGGCTGGTTCAGGCAGCAGCAGGTCAGAACGAAGCTAACACTAGCTAATTACGCTAGCTAATTACAGAAAGTAACAACTGTGAGTGTTGCTTGTGTTCTTGTAGTTGATGTTGTGTTAGCTCTGTAGCTAATGCTTCCTGTACAAACGGTTTGTAGATAATTTTATTAAAGCAAAGGTTACTTCAGCTCAGGTTATCATGCTACTGCTACATTAGCTAATGTCAGTTTAGCTAACGCTATATTTAGCTAATGTTACGTTAGCTCATGGTACTTTAGCTTCTGTTGGATATCATGAGTTTTGATCAAGTTACATTAACTAATGTTATATTATCTATTACTACATTAGGGAGTGCTACTTAGCTAATTTTACTCCAGCTAATGCTAAGTTAGCTATTGGTATTTTAGCTGATGTTACTTTATCCAGCTAATGTGATCAATTCACAATTAATTAGCAATGGAGGCTGGGGCTTCATGGGGTTAATGAGGACTGAGTTCTGATTTAAAACAGCTTTAATCCAGAATACAGTGTGGACGTGACGATGGAGTAGCTAGCTCACTGCTAACATTACCCTCTTTCTGCTAACTACAGGTAACTTAGTCTTATGGATGTAATATGTGAGGCTGAACGGGAACCTGTCTGGGCTGCATCTATTGATTCTGGTCATTGTTGATTAATCTTTGGGTCATTTCTCAAAAAACTACCGGCCTTTTTTCTGTATGACTTAGAGCCCCAGATGATCCCAAATATTCCAGCTGGATGTGAAAGCAGAAAAAAAAGTCACATTTAAGAAGCTTGAAATGTCAAATGTGTAGATTCCCGTTTGAAAGGTGGTTTAAGTGATTGATTATTGAAATAGAGGCTGATCAATGAATGGACTGATGCTTCAGCCACCGTGTTGCTTTTTAAACCTCTGTGTCACCGTTTCTTCTGTACCTTGCAGGGCTGTGAGGAGGTCCACATCGGGGTCCAACCTGCGGTTCGAGGCCGTTCCTCTGGACCAGGAGGCCACAGAGGGGACACAGGTCGTGTTCACCTGCCAAGGTTCTTCTGATTCTCACTTCACATTCCATCTCAGATCACCACATGTTTAGAAGATTGTTCCGACTTAATTTATCATGAACAATAGATATTTATAAAGATATTTGTTTAATTTAAGCTTGATCTATGAAATGTTTCTGACACACATATATTTTTAAACCTGCCTGCAGACCCACTTTTGAGGCTGTATAAACAGCAATATCTCAGGAAGTTTTTAGGATAAAAACCTGAATTTGTCATCGTGTAATTGATTCAGAATCTAGAATACTGGACGAGTAGATCAAATGATCTCTGATTATGGATGGATTGAAATATGAAAAGCAAAGGAAGCTGTCACGAAAAGTTCCATCTTTAGACACGATAAAAAACCAAAAAGGGAATGTTTTATTTCGAATCAATAAAGGTAGATAGTGTGATCCAGGTAGGACGGGCTTCAGAGCCAAACATGACTGATTAATCAGATGAGAACAGCAGCACACGGGTCAAGGTAAACAAACATGTCACGGTAGCAGCTTCTCAAAAGCAACAATTTGCTGCTGTTCCTCGTGACTAATACCTGTACCTGTACCTGTACCTGTACCTGTACCCGAGGGTGCTGTGTGCTCATCTATCCTCTCACCTGCTCTCAGTCTCCTCTGATGCTGTTGCCGTGGTGACCTGGCTGAGGGGTGGGGACCAGGTGAGGACAGGACAGCAGAGACAGGATGGCAGCCGTCTGACTCTCACCATGGAGAGAGTGAGACAGGTGGACCGGGGCACGTACAGGTGTCAGCTGACCACTGCCGATGGACTGACCGTCAGCTCTGCAACATGGAGGCTCCGAGTCCACGGTAAGACCTGCCCGTGTCTCTCTGTAGTGTTTCCGGTGTGCTGTTCTGGTCTCTGTGGTGGCTGTGTGTCCAGACTGGCCTTCATCAGGACTGTGTGTTGGACTGAGTCCTCCAGCAGAGGGCGGCACATGAGCACGCTGTTGTGACACCAGTTGGTTTATAAACCGGACCGTCAGAGACCAGGAACGGGACCTGGATGAAGAGACACCTGCTGGAATTCCCTTGAATCCCGTGAAGCCTGAAGCTGGACATGATCCGGAGGCCGGTTCAGTTGTGCTGTGGAGCCTGCACACAGAACCTCGCTCACTTCTGCACACTGTGCTGTGAATGAACATTTTTACTGATTGTCAATAAGGCTTTATGTATTTTTACAGGCACTGGTCTTTTATTTACTTGTTTACTGGTGTTTGGGCTGCTGGCGGTGGCCTGCTCGGTTAAACGTTGCGCTGAGCTCAGCGTGTTCTGAATAAGAGACAGAGGGACTGAAGGACTGTAGATCAGGTTGGTACAGTGAACCACAGAGGAGCTGTGTAGATGAACCTGCTGGATGTGTTTCAGAGTAGAAACAAGCCGATTTAAAGAGTGAAATCAGCAGATCTGAGACCAGCAGCGTCTGTAGGAACAGTGACGAGGGGAGCTACAGAACCAGCAGCGTGCACTGTAAACCCTCACACAGCAGTCAGGAGAACTCACCAGTGAGTCCAGTAACTTCCTCATGTCACTGCTGCTGTTGGGAGAGCTGCTAGCTTAATAAAGCCATGACATGACAATCCAAACTGATTTCATGTAGTTCAGGGACTTGTTGAGGGGACTACATGACAAAGAGAACTCTTTGTGATACACCTGTTCAGAGGTTTTTCAGATCACACTGATGCCTGTTTGTCAGGCTGTAGCGACTCGCTGCAGGAGGACTTCAGTCTGTCACTGGGGGGCACGTTTTTCACCATTTCTACTCGTGTTACTGTTCTCAGAATGTCCTTCACTACAGATCAACAGCATCAGCCTCCGAGCAGCAGCGTGCCGCTGAACACACAAAGTTCTGGTGATCTGAAAGATAGATGTAGATGTATGTAGATGTTCCTCCAGCAGCGTTTTCAGTGACCGCCACCGGACTGGTTAAAGTAACACTGACAGCCCAGAGGGGAGCTGGTCTATCCTCCATGGCAACACCATGGTGAGGTGCAGCAGACTATCCTGCCTTCTGCAGTGCTGCATGTGTCATGTAATCAGATTACTCACCTCAGCTGTAGAAAAACAAAGAACCACTGACCAGCCTCCACCAGAGGTTCGTTAGTGTTGAGGGGAGTGCTGTCTTTCTTGTTTTTAACAAAAACGTATGAGTACAAAGCTGCATGTGTTGTGATCTGTGCGACATAAACGACACTGAGTTGAACTGAAAGTGTAGAAACAAAGGGAGGACTGCCTCCAGCGCTGCAGCAGCGGGCCGGGTTTTACAGAGCACCGTGTTGTACGAAGGCTGAACAAATACAGGACCAGAGCCGGGACCATATAAAGACAAAACACGCTGCCGCAGCCAGCGCACACACACAAACACACAGAAACGCTGAAGCCGACCCAACAAGGGCATGCAGAGGGAGTCCACGGCTGGACTCCATCAGCTGGGATCCCCTCCTGCAGCAGCAGCAGAACCACGGCTCAGGACAGAACCAGATCACACACAAGCATCACACCTCAACACTCCTTTGAAAGAGTTACTCAGAACCTCTCTCAGCTGTTTCACAGTAAACCCGGTCCGGTCTGACAGCATCATGATGTACGTTCTGTGTTTCCATCGGTCTCGTCCAGGTCGATATTTAAAGCTCGGAGCCTCTAATGTCCACATTTGGTTGTAATAAAAATAGATTTGTGTTAACATGAAGATGATGACGTCTCCTCCTCCTCCCACAGAACGTCCTGCTGCAGCCGGGCCTCGGTCCTCTGGAGGGGGCGGGGCCACGGTGAATACATCACGGCGTGGTGAAGCCCTGGTCAAAGGTCAGAGGTCCTTCATGAGAGCATTTTCCTCCAGTTCATGATCAGCTGTTAGTGTTGCTATACAGTGAATGAAGCCTCCTGCTGCTGTCACTGCAGGACACACTGTTCACACCAAGTGAAGGGTGAAGCACACACTGAGCTGCTCTACCAGGACGGCTGATCTTCCAGTAAAATGTCCACCAGTAGCGTTATTCAGCAGTTTCCTGACCTGCTCAGCTCCTTCCTGCTCCGTCACACTTTGGCTTATTTTAATAGTTTTCATTAAAACCTGTCAACAGAAGAGTGTTCAGTGACACAGACAGCAGCCAGACCAGCACTCACAGCACCAGACATGACCATCAGATACCTGGTTACCATCAGATATGTTCATGTGAAGCACTTATTGATCGATTATTAGTGATCACTGAGACCAGTAACTGGAGCTGATCTACATTCACAGTAAAAATGAAAGTCTTTGTACTCTGTGGTCAAAGATGTGAGTCGCTCAGAGGCTCAGAGACAGAAGGTCAAAGGGGCGGAGTTATCAGCCACTGGCTCCGCCTCCAGAGCATCAGAGGTCACCTCCTGCTTAATTGAAAGGTCCAGGTGTGTCCTTCAGGTGGAGACAGCAACAGGACGGGGCTGACAGGTGAACCCAACTGTGATTGGTCTGATCTGCTGGATTGTGTGTGGAGTCAGCAGAGACATCAGGAGGTTCAGCAGGAACCTTCAGCACAGCTTTATAAGGAGAACCAGGAAAAAGCCTCCAGCAGCAGGAAAACCCCGACACACGCACACACACAC